TTTGAAAGTAGTACTTTCCTCATTTGATGATGAGGTGGCTGAAACTCTAGGGATATTAGTAGTTTTCTTAAGTTTAAAGAGCCAGCATAAGATATACTCAAATTTAAAATCATGATTTTCCCACTCCACTGAGGCATAAAGTTCACATTTGTTGATGCCTTCATGATGTAGGACACTAGTAAAAGAACAAATAAGACCACAGCTTCCCTATATCTGCTACATTAAACTAATGCCACTGCTGTGATGTGAATTATTCCCTTGAACTATTCTCTAAGCCAGAGAATACAGGCTTTCTTCTTCAATCACTCTTGTTATTCCACAGTAAAAATTGGAACACCTAAAACCAAATAATTGCTGGTGGTCTGACTCATACAAACAGTGGAGTGTATTAAAACAAACAAGGAAAACTGAAATTATCATGTTCAGGTCTGAAGGAAAATATACCTTAGTCTATAATGGTGCTATTTCAGAGTCTAGCACACAATGAAATAACTTTCCTCTTTGAAGCTTTTACTTACATTGTTGCATAGGGCACAAACAGCATTCTCTAATTTGAAAACAAAAAAATAAGTGATTCCTTTTGAAGTCCAGTCTTTTGAAAGCACTGTAGTCTTTCAGCTAAGTGGTTATTCTCCAAAAGTAAAACAGACTTTCCAACTAGTATTTATAAACAAGTACACATACCCAATAATTTTCAGTGTGTTTCTATGTCACTTTGACTTTTTGTGGTTATAATAGCAGACATGCTTTGTGTTAAATGATGCCTTCCTGAAGGGAGTTTTTGGATAATACCTCCTGAAGGGTTTCTAATTCTTTGTTCAGTCAAAAGCTTGCCTGTTGCTTTTCCCAGCTGAATATAGGGTTCTTGTGCTCCCTTATTCTATCACCTGATATCCCAACTGCATTTTCATGTAGGTGAAACAACACAAATAGAGGAAATGTTTGGGTCAAGCAGTGTGGCAGGACCTCAGGCTTGGCCCCTCAGTCTTCTCACCTGCAAAGTAAAACCATACATATAGATGATCTTCAAGTCCTTTTCAGCTCTTGAATACCATTTCTACATCATTGATGAACCAACTTCAGTTAATTGTCTAAATCAGTCACCACTATTTTGATACATGTCCCTATGAGGGAATTTGCTCATTAGTTTATTTAACACAAATTTATTAGGCATCGTCCAGCAAGCTGGGTATACAGTGGCAAGTGAACAAACACAGTCCTTAGCCTCACTGAGTTCACAATCTAGAGGGAAAGCAGACAAAACCAAGCTCTAAAATAAATAATAATTGTGGAAAATGCTATGAAAGATAACAACAGGGTGCTATGAGAAATAATAATAGGAAAAAGATCATTTAGACAGGGGAAGGTGAATGTTTCTAAGGAAACTTCATTGTAGGAATGACAAGAGGTCCAAAGGGTGAGGAGTTGCTAGCTAAGTGAAGAGTGAAAGGAACAGCATTCCAGGAATATAGGGCAGCATAAAAGACCCTGAGGAATTAAAGAGCTTGTGCATTCAAGGGACTGGTAGAAGGCCCTGTGGCTAGAGCATAATGAACCAATGGGGTTGGCCTGAGCTGAGGTAGAAATATGCTCCCACCAAATCATACAAAGCCTCACCACCATGGCGAGCATTATGTACATCAGAAAGTCAGGGAGAACCTACTGAAAGATGTTTAAGCAAGGGGGGGAGGTGACTCCATACATTTTTCAAAAGAGTTCTCTGATCACTGTACACACATTGGTGGAAAGCAAAAACAGGTGCAGGAAGGAAGTTCAGTTAGAATTAGTCCAGACAAGGGATGTGGATGAGGAGGCAGTGATGGAGAAAAGGGAAGATTTCACAAAAAATCTTGGGATATCCTCATTTTGCTTCTGCAGTCAGCTGTGATGTACAGTGAGATACACCTCATGTCTCATGGAAAATGGACATATTAATTCCTATACCTCCACTGAGATACCTACTGAAGAGGCTTCAAGGAGATTACTTTAGAAGCTTGGTCTATGTCCCCTGGAGTCCATGGAACATGTAGCTGTGGCCATACTGTGCCTCGGAAAGTATGAACGAGGCCAGCAGTCCTGTCAGCCCAGTGGTCTCTCCGGTGGTCTTTTAGGGCAGCACTCCACGTGATCCATGTGGAATCCACAGGAAGTGCTCACACCCCCTTCTTCCTGACAAGCTTTCAGCCTCCAGGTGCTGCCAGCATGGCCGTCTCTCCTGAGTGGGCTGACAGGACTGCTGGCCACCTTCGTTCTTTCTGAGACACAGTATGGCCGCAGCTACTACATGTTCCATGGACTCCAGGGACATAGACCAAGCTTCTAAAGTAATCTCCTTGAAGCCTCTTCAGTCGAACTGCATAAAGGAGAAAGTGCCCATCTTCTGATCATGTTAGAGATGTGCCATGGAACTAATCATGCCTCACAGCTCGACTGAGAAATCCTCTCTCTGCTCTCTACCTTTCTCCCTCTTTTCTGATATGCTTGATATGCTTTGTCATCTACGAACTGTAAAGTGAATTTGGGCACTAATTTTTGGGATTTCTTGGGAGGCTGCCACCTTTTCTGGAATGTCAGAGCAGATGGTACATCTTGTCCTGGACAAAATGGAAACAGAAAACATCCCACTTAAATATCCTCTCCCAGCCTCCACCCACCTGCCCGGTAAACCACTGACTGCGGGTGTCCCCCCCGCCTTCCATCCTCCTACAGCCCTCAGGGCCTCTCCAGGGCAGCTACCAGGATGCTTCCCTGCCTCTGCTCTCCTCCTCTGCCTTTCTTCTCACCCCCATGTGGCCTGCTGTCCCAGGTGCTAAGTGAATCGCTGCAGCAGTGGCTTCATTGCACCCACCCACCCACCACTTTCCCAGGCAGGGGTTTGGGTCTGACAGAGCCCTGTTCCCCCACTTTAGAACACCATAAGCCCCACCTTCACGCAGACCATACTGTTCCCCCTTCATCCATTCTTTTCCTGAGAGATTTCTAACAGCTAAGAACCTGTGATAGGAATTCAGGTAAAAATGGGGCACAATTTCAGGACTTGCCCTACTTAGCAAGACATACGGAAGAGCAGAATTGGGTGACCTACTGGAAGAGCAATGGAAGTGGCATCTGCTAGCTTGAATTGGGGGAACAATGTAAGTAGAGGAGGCTAGGATTTCTGGGAGTCATGTATAGGAAAGAAGTAGGGGAAGCCAGAGCAAATCCCTGAGCTGGAAGATGTGGGACAAGGTAGAAGAATGAGCCATGGTATTTTCTCCTTTTTGAAAGCATTATGCAAAGTCACAGGAAGGAATTACCTGGGTGATGGGCATCACTTTTCCAGTGACTTCATTCTGGTCACCAGGAAAAGGGGGGCTGGGTCCTAATGGAAGCTTCCCACATGTCTGACAGGAGCAAATGCTAAGCATGGACTGCGCTGCAAGGCCTGTAAGATGAGCATCCATCACAAGTGTGCGGACGGCCTGGCGCCCCAGCGGTGCGTGGGCAAGCTGGTAAGGGCTGTATCAGGCGTGTGCGCAGCGCATTGCCTGCCCCATGAGACCACTCCAGCCAAACTCCTTCCCCACCCACCTGATACCTGGACACCAGGGAGGCAGCCCCCAAATGCGTGGCTCACCAGCTTGGCATCCCACTTGGCATAGTGACCAAGAAGAGAAGCTTTGTCACTTTAGGGACACATGAAAGAGTCTCTTAATAGGGTGGCTGACGTGTCCCAGGTTGGAAGCTTCTGTTTTAGCATGGAAGTCCCACATCCTGCGACTGCCATGGTTACAAGTGAAAGTCAGACATCCCAGGGACCCCTCAGCCCTAGTGAACTAAGGTTACCCCAGTGCTTACCTGGCTGACAGTTCAGTGGGGGTCAATTGGGGTAGAGATTAATCACCGCCCCTGAAGATCTGCACCACTCTAACCGATCATGGTAGTCAAACCAAGGAAGGCTGGCTGACCCTCGCACACTCTGAGTTGACCATTCATTCCCAGGAGCACAGGCTTCAGTACTGGTACCACACATTGGTCAAAGGCAGGCCAGAGCACCTTTGACGATATTCCAAACTAAATGGCCAAAGAATTGTGGGAGCAATGAAGAGCGTCTACTCTACAGACACTTAGGATATGACAGCTATCTTCAAAAAAGTTCAAACTGGTCACACAGAAGGGGAATTCTACCTTGCTTTGTCACTCTGGGAAAAAGGCCTACCCATCAGAGATAAAGTCTTAACAAACAGAGATAATGTCACCAAAAACCTACCCCCAGTGTTATTAAGAGCCCCTCCCCTCACCCCCCATCACAGGCAGTGTTCGAAAAAAGGAAGACACCCCTTGCCAGGAACATTGGAGAAGATTCCGGAACTGTAGGAGGGCCACCAAGTTCTCTTCCAGTACTGGGATACAGGCAGTCAAGGTCCTGAGGATTTACCTCCTTACTCCGAGTAAAATCGCCTGCCTCTTCCTTAAAACCCCTGCCTCACCTGTCCCCACCCTCCTCTTCCAATGGGGATTCCCACAAGCCAAGACAAAGACTGCGGATGAGGGGTCAGAAGAAGGGAATGTAATGCAGACACAAAGCCAACGATTCTGAGTAGAGCTCACGGGGTATACGAGGCCCTTTCAGCCAATCTGCGGTCTGCCCTCCCATGCCCAGGCCTTTTCGAATTTTAGTAAGCCACAACTATAAGCTGCGGTAAAATAATGCACAACAGTCCATTTGTATCCTGGGAGAAAATGAGGAGCCAGACATAAGGGAGGCTGCTGTGGTCCGTGGAACGGGAGGAGCAGGAAGGCGAAGGACAGGGCTGGGGGCTCCATTCCAAGGGAGTGCCGCTTGCTTATTGACAACTGTGCCTACCACCCTCTGGGATAAATCGTAGGACCAGTCAGCGCCTTAAAGGGAGACAGGGAGTTGTCCCTGGAGAACCAGCCGGTTTTATTTTCAGCATGCGTTTGGTTTTCTCAATCCCATCCGTGACAATAAACCCTTCTCTTTCTCCTTCCCTCTCCAGCCAAAGGGGTTCCGGCGTTACTACAGCTCCCCCTTGCTCATACATGAACAGTTTGGATGCATTAAGGAAGTTATGCCCATTGGTGAGTTGGGATGCTGATGGGTTGGCCTGGGTTTGGAGCAGCAGTGTCAGCATTAATGGAGCTGGTCCCCCTTCTCCCTGGGTTGCAAAACCAGTCCGTGTGGTCATGCATTTGGTGGCTGACTGGACTGTGAGTGTGTTTTGCTGAAGGGGAAACACAAGGTAAACCAAATTCTCCCAGAATTTTCATCCTTTCCCTGATGCAGATTGAAAAATCGACAAGTCCCAAAGGCTGCTAATATGCTACCTGCTCCATCAGTAGCAGGTAGAGTGGAAAGAGTGTCCCACAGCTTCCCCACTGACCGGCTGTGTGTCAACCTGTTCCTAGAAAATGAGAGCAGCAAGGGCTGCTTTTCACAATTGTTATTAAAATAAATAAATAAATATAAATTATAGACCAATGCTTGGAAGGAACTCAATGCTTTTCACAATTGTTGTAAAAAATAAATAAAAATTATAGACCAATGCTTGGAAGGAACTCAGTGAATATCAGTTATTTAATGAGGACAAAAATACATTTATAGAGATTTCTGGCTTGAATTTATTCTTTAATCGTATCTTTGATTTCACTCTTTTTTTCTCTCTCGCACAGAAAATCTCTATATCTGTTTTTGCCTTTTGTGGTGGGAGGAGGGGCAAGTTCTAACCTAGAAATTTATAAACTAGAAAGCTTCTAATTAGAAATTTATGAGGCCTGATAATGTCAAATTCTCTCAAAAACACTTGCTTCCTATTGCAAACTTTGTGTCTCACTCAAGGCTTCATACCTGGGCGAGGAAGACCTCAGCTAGAGGTGATAAAGCTGGGCCCTGGGAAGAACCCTGAAGTTGTAGCCATAACAAAAGAGGAAACAAATCAGCTGGAAGGGATGGGGAGCAGAGTTCTGGATGTAGGTGCTGTGTGCAGAGGAGGGAAAGACCTGGCAAATGGACCCATCTGCAAGGAAAGCCTGACCACATGGAGCCCCGTTTTCCCAAGGGGACAGGCTGGGCAGGGCAGGCCCTGTTTCTCAGGTGCTGTTTACCGGGGTGATGGACAGGTGTACTCCTGAGGCTGAGCTGAGGAACCTGTCTCTCTTCCGTTACAGCCTGTGGCAGTAAGGTGGACCCAGTCTATGAGACCCTGCGCTTCGGCACTTCCCTGGCCCAGAAGATGAAGAAGGGCAGCTCTGGTTCCGGCTCCGGCTCCGGCTCCGGCTCCGGCTCTGGCTCACCTCACCGAACCTCTGTAATTGTCCTCCTGCCTGGTCCGCCCGCCAGGATCTCAGCAGGACAGGCCTCAGGCACTGCGGTGGGGGGGGAGTTCCCCCTAAACGCTCACAAGGGTGGGTCTTTTGGGAGGCAGGCAGCCTCTAACAGGGAACCCTAGAGTGCCTTGGGCCAACTCCGAGGGGCACTTCCCTTTCTGCCCCAGAGACCGTGTTCTGGGCCTGGTGCTGCCTGACTCTTCCTTTCTTCCCCCTGCCTCACCCTCCTGCCAATTTTAGATGACATGTCAGTCAGCACATAGAAAGGTTTGACCCAGACAGTGGCAGAGTCAGGAAGTCCCAGCTGTACCATTTCTACCCCAGCCACACCCCAGGTCAAGAATACGGCTGCCCTTCACATATTCTCAGCCCTTCCTCTCAAAGATGAGATATGCCCCTTGGTTTCACACAAAAACTGCCCTCCCCAGAGGTGCTTAACCTGTGTGGTTAAGTGGAGCCTCTCTCCATAGGACATTTGGCCTGCACTTTACCTGGTCCAAAATGACTGTTGCATGCATGTCTTTGATCTGCTCCCATCATCCTGTCTCTGGCTGCCCCAACAAGAATTACTATCAATGCGCCAAGAAGCCACATAACTCTGAAGCTTATGCTGAAGGCCACCATCTCTCCTGCAAAAAGACAAGGACCTTCCAGTTCACACTGTCAATTAGGATAGTTTGTACCCAGTTATCACATCCTTTGTTGAACTGGGGGCTTCCAGACAAGACACAGATGCACCTTCAAATGGTCTGTCCCACTGAACCCTCTCAGCACCACGTGACTGGGGTGGGCTTTGGGAGAAGGGCGGGGCACACCACTGCGAGGGACTCTCTGGGGCTGAGCTGCTGCAGCTCCCTCACCAGGTGCAGGTCAGTCCTCAAGACAACTGGGACTGTCTGCTGGTGAGTGAGGGGTGGATGGTTTTTAGGTCCTCTGACTCATGCCACCTGGTTATCCTGGAACCTGTCTTTATAAACTCACCGAAAGCCTGTTCATGCAATTTCTAATTCCCCACTAATCTCTAACAGGGAAGAACCAAAAGTAGTTTACTTTACAAGAAACCATGCCTGCCGTCCCCTCCTCTTTCTTTTTCATATCCACACTTGCTCCTGCTCCTTTCCTGGGTGAACAGATCTTGAGTTGCACAGTCAGAGTGGCCTCCAGGCTGGATCTGAAGTTTGGAACAGAGATTTGAGAATGCTAAGCATGTCCTTAACCCCACACACCACTTACAGCTCCTTCCTCAGGAGAGTAAGGACTCCATTGCTGCCAGCAGGTCACTTCCCCCGAGCCACATAGAGCTGGCTCTCAGCCTGCAACCATTCCCCGTGACAAGGGAAGACTTTTTGTAGATAACGCCCAGCAATCCCAAAGAAGAGCACAGGCTGCTCTCTGGCCAGAGCAGAGAGCCCCCTGCCCACTTCAACCTGCATGCCAGTTGGGCCTTTCTCGTGTCTCTGGCAAGAGCCCACCTATCATCAGCCCACTACCAGAAGCATCTGGTGTTGGTGGAAAGGCAAACGGTAAGCCAAGCAAGGGAGGCAAGTGCTGAGACGAGGGTCCCCAGAGATGGCCTTTAGCTCTCATGTGGGCAGCAGATGGCTGCTGCGGAAGTTCTGAGCTCTGCAGACTCACAGCTGGGAGACAGCCCCAGGAACTGCATGCAGGCAGTGAACATTTTAGCCTTCACATTTTTGGCTCACACTCAGAAGCCGCAGGAACATCAGGGAGACAATTTAAGGATGTCCAGTTTTCTTTCATGTCTAAAATAGTTCTGTGTCTAGCAAGGTCTGGACCCTCCAGATTGGTTTCAGGGGCAAAAAAGCATAGTTTGCTGATTGTCAGTAAGGGGTCCATTCATCCAGGCCACTCGCACTTCCTGGCACTGGTTCCATCAGTAGGTAATTCTTGGAAATTTGCTCTGTGAATGCATAGTTCTGAGAGCTGCAAGGAGACACAAACAAATCAAACTGCACTTAACTGTCACTTCACTCTTTCCCCAGAGTCCAACTTGCCTCTATGGAAGAAAACAGAAACAATTGATTTTGCTTCCTTCCCTTGGGGTCAAACAATAATGAACTTCGGCCTCTTGCCATTCTCGCAGCATTTATATGTCCTAAAACTAACATATTCCCACACAGCAAAGCTCTGTCCCACAGGTTTGTTCTCTCCCAGACCCATACAGGCATTTGCTTAAGTGATAAGAAGCTACTGCCTGGCTGTTCCTAAATGGGTATGTTTCCTTTAATGTGTTTTCAAATATTCTAGAATGTGGAAGGCTTGATGGCTTCTGGAAAGCCAGCAGTACCAAATTCAAAAACTTTCTGAGAGCTGGTTGCCTAGTTTATGAATAATCTACAGTTTCATAAGATTAAATTAACGTAGTAGCAACCTTTGAAAGTAGCATGCTCCAAAGGAGCAGGATACAAGTGATGTGGAGACCCTGTGACATTTATATGTTTCTTCTTTCTGACATGTCATGAAAATGGGAAAGGGCTGGAAAAAGCCTTAAAGCTAATTTGTAACAAAAAGCAGTCTCTGCAGGGTGGTGCTAAAGGGCTCTAGAGCTGACAGGAGAGGGAGGGAGGCAAACATTTCTCTCTAATAAGATATGAATAAGCTGTCTGAAATATGTGACTGTCCTCTGAGACCCCCTGCATTTTTCTTCTAAAGAGGCAGGAGCCATGCAGTAAAGCAGGAGCATCCAGCCCCTGAAAGAGGCAGTCAGTGGTGTGCTGGTCAATGTTCAGCAGCAGGCTGAGGCTGGACCCTGACCTGTAGCTTTTGCCAGTTATCATGGTGTAAATACTGCTGTGGCCAATCTCAGGCTGCCCGTGGGAGGAGCCTGAAGGCTCTCATGAGCCGGCGTGAGTCGCCCAGAGCACCGCTGGATGACGCAAGGTGCCTGAGAGTTTGAGCTCTGGAAATGACACAGGAGGTTCAGACCCCAGCTCCAGCACTTACTAGCTGTGAGACCTCAGGTAGGGTTCCTGACCTCCTCTGGGCTTAATATTTCTATCTGAAAACAGGTTTACCATGGGATTGTTATGAAGAATAAATGATATGATACAGAGAAAGTACCTAAAAACAGCATGTGATGAATGATCAGTAATCATTAGCTACTTCACGTGGAAGAATGACCATAGCTTCTCTTATTTTAAAAAAAAAAGGCAGAATAAGTATTAAAAAAATGATGTTGCAGCAATGGAAACAGCATTTAACTTGTACCTAGGAAACACATCCCTCAATACTGCATCTTGTTCTCTATAATTAATACAGATCTTCCTTGACTTACGATGGGGCCACACCCCAACAAACCCATCGTAAGTTGAAAATAAGTCAGAAATGCTTTTAATACACCTAAGCATCCTAGCTCAGCCCAGCCCACCTAAACTGTGCTCAGAACACCTATGTTAGCCCACAGGTGGGCAAACTCCTCTACCACAAGCTTACTTTATAATGAAGTGCTGCATGTCTCACATAACTGATTGAATACTGTACGGAAAGTGAAACTCAGAATGGGTGTGTGGGGACAGCACGGTGGCCAGTATCCTGGTAGTCACCCTTGAGGTGCGTGGCCAGCTGGGGGCTGGCTCACTGCTGCTGCCCAGCAAGAGAGGATTGTGAACCCTGGAAAAAAATCAAGATTCAAAATTCTAAGTGCATTTTGTACTGTTCGGGTATCACTTTCACATCAGAAAGTCTTAAGATTGTAAATCAAACGGTCGTAAGTCGGGGACTGTTTGTAATTAGAAGTCACCTATAGGAAGAACTACAGTTCTAGTGAACTTCCCAAGTGCAGGATATGGGCAGGAATGCTGATTTCTCCCTGTTGTCCCTTCCTGGGAGGAGGTCTGCCCAGCTGTGACCTGGGCATTGAGGCATTCACTCAGCACCCACTGAGTACTCGTGCGCCACCCCGAGCTGGGCACAGACCCCTGAGGGGAGGCCCTGAGGAAAGAGGGCCTCCTGGGTCAGCTAGAGAGACAGGAGGGCGGAGGCTGGTCCTGAGGCAGAGGCACGCAAGTTCCGCCCTCCTTCTGCCGCCTTCGACTCCGTCGGCAATGGCATTGCTCATTCATATGTTGTTCCCTCTTTCCTCCCAGACTTCTGACCTCGTAGAGGTTCCTGAAGAAGCGGCGGGGCCAGCGGGCGGGTGTGACCCCCGGCGACGCAGCAACAGCGGTGAGCGTGGGGAGGGGGCTGAGTGTGCCTGCCATCCAGGTGGGGCGGCCCGGGGGCCTGCCTGTCCGCTCCCGGGGCTCCACCAGCTCTGGAGTTCAGTCTGGGTGAGTGCTCGGTGTTCTGAGAGAACCAGCACGCTTACTGGCGGACTTCAGGGACTCAACCCGAGTTCTTCCTCCTGCGTTCTCACGCCTCACTGGGGTTTAGGAGTCCCTTCCAGGCCTTTCTGTGAACATGTCATTTCCTCCACTGACCTGCATTAGATTAGCCAACCGTAGCGGAGAGAAGCTACTCCAAGTACACCTGAATTACCTCCGACCAGGTAGGTGGCATGCCAGGGCAGGGGGCCTCACACTCAGCAATTCCCCAGCACAGGTAATTGAGACTCAAACAGTGATGTGCACGATCTGGCCAATCTTTGTTAATATTATTTAATTTTCTAATAGTTTGAGCCCTTGTTAGAATAATTTCTCAAATATTTATTAAATGCTACCTACACACTGTTGCTTGCTAATGTTAAGAATGAACCACCTCTTAAACCAGACGTTAAAGAAACATCACCAGCCCCTTGCGGATGAATCTTGCTGAGCCTCTTTGATGTCAAACAACTGCTTAACCTCCACTCAGTTATCCAAAAACACTTGTGAAGCATTTACTGTCACCAGCTAAAGCACAGAGGTCCCAAAGCTGTTCTTGGGGTGATGATAACCCAGCAGGAGCTGTCCCTCGGGGTCTAATCTCTGCCCAGGCAGCATCAGACATGGCCAGGATGGCTTTCCCACTTGCCTAGCTGTCGCTGCCTTTTCCAGCCTGGAAGCAGAAATTCTGCATCCAGCACCATAGCTGCTTTATCAGCAGCTGTCTTCTGGGGTATCTCTCAGCTTCTTCAGCTCTAGAACTCCACTTACATCTCCCCCTAGTCAGGCTGGGGCCTCTGACCCACACAGGCAGCACATGCTTAGTCCCCCAGGGCCCCTGCCCCACCCTCACATATCTCTGGGGTGCACTGCAAGGGCATCATGCCAGGAAAGCCATACTTTCTGATCAGTGCAAACATTGGTTGAGCACCGAGCAGGGCTGTTGGAGGGACAGGTTTGGGAGTGCTGGCTGCAGGAGGGGCCTCACAGCCCAAGTCTGTCCAGCATCACAGATGCAGCCCCTGCATTTGGTCAGCACCCCAGAATTACTCAACATCTGAGGAGTGAACTCCCCAAAGACTGGCATCAAAACCAGACCTGTACTTTCATCTCCAAGTCTGGTCAGCTGCTCTGTCCCCGTGTCCCTGAAACCTTCCTAGTTGCTAATGGCCTCATCATCACTAACAGGGAATTATTTGGTCCTTGGCCCCTCCTTGCTCTGGGGGAGGGCCTCTGGAATGCATTTAATGATTGTGTAGCTTTCCAGCCCTGGAAGCCTGGCCTCCCTTTGTCTCAATTGCCTCATCTCTAAAATGAAGATAATAACAGCACTGAATCCAGTGGGTGTTGTGATCACTAAATTCAAGAAAGAACGTAAATTCTACCCATGCATCAATGACTCTGAAACGTCATCTCCAGCATTAGGGTTCTCTGCTGCCTCCTGATGCCCAGTGCCTGCTGGACACAGCCACCTGAGCAGGCAACAGGCATCAAGTAAATACACCCAAATGGACTCGACTCCCCCACCCACCCAAGCCAGCTTTTTCCTAAGGTCCCTGCCCAGTAAATAGGAGCTCCATTCTATGAGCCGACCAAGCCAAAACTTTTGGCATCAGACTTGACTCCCACTTCTTCTCACACTTCATCACCAGTCAGTCAGCAAACCTTATTTGCTGCAAATTTATATCCAGCCTGTGCCCACCACTTACCTCTCTGCCTCAGCCATCCTGGTCCAGCTTTACTGGTGCTGTTGCTTATTCATTCCTTAGGAGTTAAGGTCTCTATTTGTCCTGAGGATTTATTTGCTCAAAAAGGGGTCTCCATAGGATTTAACAACGTGAAGGGCTATACTTAGGAGTCATCAGTAGGAAGTATGGTTGCTCCTAATAAAGTCATCACAAGGTCATAAAGTATCAGAGATGCAGCCTAGAACCACACTACTCCAGCTGTGGCCCTGGGCCAGCAACCTGCACTTCACGTGCCGGCCTGTTAGAAATGGAGAATCTCAGGCAGTCTCAGAGCTGCTGGATCAGAATGTGCACATGATTCTGTGTGTGAACCTTGTGAAATTCGAGAAGCAGGATTAGAAATCATTTATCCCACCCCTATCCTCTCCAACAGACACACCACATACTGTATGGATAAGGAAACTGAGTCATGGAGTAATACACTCAAAGACACAAACTTGATTTTTTTGCATCTCTTTTATGTTCAAGGGCCTTTTCACAGCCTTGTTCAAAGAAATCTGTTGAAAGAACTTAGCAAGTAATAAGCCTCTACACAGCTTTGGAGATCTATTAACTACTCCCTTTGATGGGCAGTAGCTTTCTTCACAATGCACCCTTGGAAACCAGAGGCATTAATTATGCAGCAGTTTGCTTCAAAACATTTTCTTTTGATCGGATTTAATCCCCATCCAGGCAATTTGAGAAACAGCATAGAGGAGACATCCTGCTTCACCCTCCTCTTCCCACAGGCATGACGAGAAGAGCGCTGGCTTTTCAGAAGCAGTGACTGGGCCTCCAGTAACGAGCAGATCCATAGTACATGCTTCATTTAGTTTCTGAAAAGTACATAGTGCACATAGGTACTAAGTGTGATGTCAGAATCCTGGAGGAATATTTCCAAAGCCATCGTAGAGGAAAGTACAATTCACACTCATTTCCCTACTGCTAACAGCACAGTCTCTTCCTTCTCTCTCATAAACGATCTTGGGCAGGTGTGAGGGCTTCTGGCTGTTGTTCTAAACACTCCTGGAGGCATCAGAAATACAGGTGGGGTGTCGGCCTTCAGCTCTGGCTAAACTGCCAGAAACTCCATGCAAAGCAAGATTAATAAGCACAGGAAAGAGTAAAGTCTAGGCTGCCCGTTTCAGCTTGGAGTGCTAAAAATGATGTTCCTGGTGGCCGGCAATCATTGCATATCATTATGACTCTGTGTGATCAGAACTTGCCTGGAAGAGAGGCAGAGGTAACAGAACATAAGCAATATGAATTCTTAGAAATATTCTTCGAAACAGACTGGGTTAATCACAGCCACTTGAGGACATCATAAAGCCCAATATTACCTTATTTTTCACTAAAGCAAAGAAATTTTGCCCAGGAAGAAGAAAGGCAAGCTCAGATTTGGAAAACATATCCTTGCCTTTAGCATGCACTAGTTCTAAATCTTAAATTTTGATTTGTCACCCAAACAATGAAGCAAATATTTTAATGGCTTCTTTGGCAGTTGCCCCTGGTTCTCGTCCCCACCAGTGGACAGTTCCCAAATTACAGTTGCAAATATTTACTGTGTGTTTCTGCAACACACACTTAGTATCTAAATCCGGCAAGGGTCTCTTTGAAAGCATAGAAGGTTCTCTTTCCAGCTCTGTGAAGGACTGGATGTTCAGAGAAATTTCTCCCAGTTTAACATGACTAAAACTGCAAAGAGAAAGAATTTTAAAAAAATTTAAAAAGAATTCGGTTAATGCATGGCTGAACTGACAGCAAAATACGGCAGTTCCTTAAGAGTCTAGAAATGACAATAAAGCATGAATCCAAAGACATAAGCAGGCTCTGCACATCCCTGTGGCCCCAGATTGGGGAATAACAAGCCTGGATAACAGAGGACAAGACCTGGGGAGAGGACGGGGTAATAGCTTAGATGGGAGGCCTTTTGGAAGAATGTGTGATACCCCAAAGGGCACACTTAGTGGCACTAGGAACAAAGCATGCCCTGCAGAGGAATTCAGTGAAGGAAAATGCTCTACTGGCCTTAACTCAGGTGGAAAAGAAATACAGGATGCAGGAAAAGAAATAAAGCAGAGAAAAAAGAGGGAGGGAGGAAAGTCTTCTTGCTTGAGTTTATGGCCTGAATTCACACTCCCCATATAGACAAAGTAAAGCAATATGAATTTTAGTTTAACTTAAAGTGGCCCAGTTGTGATAAAATCACCAGGCATTTGGCAGAAGCAAATACAAATCCCCTCTAAAGGAAGATCATTTAAACCCAGACCTCAAAAATTTCCACAAATGAACTTTCAAAGAACATGAGCTAAGAATTAAAACAACAAATACAAGAAGAAATGAGCTGTCACAAGTGAGAGCTAAAACAGCCCATTTTATAATTAGACTCTCAGAGACTGGAATTATCAAATAAATAAATATATAACTGTACAGTTATATATATTTAAAGTTATTTTAAAAATGGACTAGAGCCTATAGCCAAGGAATAAAAGGCTATCAAAATTAAACAGGCCAATTTAAAAAAATCTAAACAGAACTTCTAGAAATTAAAAAAAATGATGGGTAAATTTAATAGCATACTAGAGACAGCTGAAGTGGGAATTCATACCCTGGAATATAGAGCCAGAGAAATTTCTGAGAGTCTAGCCAGGGAGACTAAGCAATAAAATTCATGAAAATAAGAGACACAGACAAGTGAGAAAATCCAATATGCATCAAATTCACATTTTCAAGTACATAAAGAGAATGAGAGAGAGACAGTATTCAAGAAGATACTGGCTAAGAATGTTTCAGAATTGATTAAAGACCCCAATCCTCAAATTCAGAAATTTATACCTAGACAACACCTTAGTGAAACCGCAGAATTGCAAAGACAGAAGAAAATAGTAAATGCAGACTCAAAGGCAGATTACCTGCACAGCAATGAAAAATAAACCCACGACTACTTCTTCTAAGTTACAACAAAGCCAAATAGTAGAATGACTCATTGGTAACCTGAAATAAAAGTACCTCTGGACTTAGAATTGTGAATGGAAAAAGCAAAACTGTCTTTCAAGAAAATATATTCAGACAAAGGCGAACACTACATCTACAGTGCAACTGAAAAGGACCCACTCAAAAAATTCTCCTAAAGATGTACTTCAAAGAGGAAAACCTCAAAGGAAGGACTGAGAAACAAGGGATGAAGAGCCAAGAAAGTGGAAAATAAGGTTAAATCTCAGGAAACACTGGCTACAGAAAAATAACAATAATGTTACCGCAAAGTTGTTAATAAGACATTAACTGAAATACTGGATATTTAAGTGAGAAATGGGCTTTCACAGAATCTTGCATTGTTTGGAAAGAGATTAAAGATATTATTTCACTTTAGATTGTGTTACGTTAAAACATACCTCATAAAACTTCTAAGATAAAAAGAATAACAACTAGATAGAACCTAAACAAAAAGGAAGAGGGAGGGGGCATCTAAGTAGAAGAAAAAGCATAGAAAAGTTGAGACAAATAGAAAATACAAAATAAAATGCTAGGAAGGTACCCAAATTTACCAGTAAACAAAATTCATGTAAATCAGCGAAACACTAGATAAAAGAGTTTTCACACACTGAATTTTTTAAATGACTGCTTATAAACATCTACAACATAAGGATATATAGGAAGTCTAAAAGTAAAAATATGCAAATATTAAGCAAAAGAAAGATTATATATCTACACCTCATTATTTCCCATAAATGTGTGGGAAAAAAAGTGGACTTTAAGACCAAAAGAGCATTACTGGAGAAAAAAGGCATCGTTACAAGGTCATGTCCACTTCACCAGAATATATAAATTCTAAACTTGTATCTACCTAATGCAGAACCTAAAAATGACAGAAATTCAAGGAGGAATTGGCAGAACTATTAGGAAAATTGACAATCCCCTTGGTAGTGAGAGATTTTAACACACCTCTCAGTCATTGGCAAATCAGATAAAAAGATTCAGTACTGACATATAGGATCAGAGGACACATTTGACAATCCTGATCTAACTGACTGAAAAAGAACACTCCATCTAACAAATGAAGAATTCACATTCTTTCAAAGAATACATGGAACAATTGTAAAAATTATCACCTAGGCCTTAAAGCAGACTTTATACATTTCACAGGCTTCATATTATATAAAATATATCCTTCTAACTGCAATGCAAATGAGATAGAAGTCAAATGATAACTAGGAAAACCCCTAATTTTGGAAATTAAAACACACTTTTAAAAAGTTCATGTGTTGAAACACAATTTATAATGAAAAATGGAATATATTTCTTTATTAAAACTAAGTAATAAGGAAAACATTACATATCAAAACTCAGATGCAGCTACAGTTGTGACTAGATTATTTAGCTTTAAAATTATTAAATTAAAAAATAAGAAAGGCTGAAAAGTAATAACCTGAGCATTATACTGAAGAAGTCAGAAAAAAGAAATAAACCCAAAGAAAGCAGTTGGGAAGCAATAATAAAGATAAGAGCAGATATTATAAGGACAAAGATAGGGCAATAAATCCTAGCAAAGGCTCTTAAAAATAAAATTTACAATCACTAACCATTTTTTTTAATAAAAAAGATGAAACAAAAAGCAATAATAATTTTTTAAAAGGATGAACATCAGTGATTCAAAGGAAAATACAAGACTCTCATGACCAACTTCAAGCCAAAAAGTTTTAATTTTTTTAAATGGACAGATACCTGTATATATATATATAGTAATGACAGAAGTCTGACTCAAGAAGTGGATATGAGGAGCTTGAATTTACTTCTAATCATGGTAGATATTGAATCAGTATTTTAAATTTTACACCACAAAAATACAACTTTATAAGTAAATTACCTAACACTTAAGGAATAGAAAATGTCCAGTTTACATTAACTCTTTCAGGAAAACAAACAGGGATAAGGAAAAATGTCAGCAGGATTTCTGACTTAGTTTGAGACTAGTTTAATACTGACCTCAAAGCCACACAAGGGAAATCCCTGGCTGGTCTCCCTCTTGAACACAGATGCAGAAATCTGAAACAAAGTCTTGGTAAACTGAATCCAATAATGTATACTTAAAAGGTAATGCAAATTACCAAGTTGTTATTCCAAGGATGCAAATTTGTGTCTGTGCCAGATAAGCTAGTAAGGTTACTTGTATGTTACCAGGTTAAAAAAGAAAAACCAAACATTAATTTCACTAGAAAACACAGTGGCAGACATGGACCCCACAGGACTGCCGAGCAAGAAAGACAGACAGAATATGGAAAAGGGAAAGAGTAAAGTCACCTGAAGATGCGGAAAAAAACTAAAGATTCCATTTGCTTCTGTTAACATTAGAAAATGTGTCTGGGTGATGGACATATTACTTGAATACTTGCATTGGATGAAATCTAAGCCAAATTATTTTTAATAAAATGAATTTAAAGCACCAAACATAAAAGGCACATAAAATAGTTACCTTGCTTTATTCTTTTCATCTCAAATCAAAGTCTTAGAACTTGCCAGAAGTAAGTTTTAAACATCATTTTTGCAGTGGTCTGCTTGTAACCATAGAGCTGAAAGCACATTTGGGGTTTTCAATTAATTTTCAGCCTAGTTCTCAAAACTGGTACACATTTCAAACCAGATGGCAAATGGATATTCAATAAATAGATAAACTAATGTACAATTACAAAATTGTAAAACCAGTCCCAACTGATCACTGCACACGCACCTTATGTAGTCCCCGTTTTTAGCTCCAATCAAGAATTTTCCAGGAAGATTCTCTTGGCATGTTTCATTCAGTATTCCTTTAGAAGTGTCCAGGTGGATACTTCTGGAATCCAGGATTTACACCAGGGTATTGCTGGCCACCACTCACTTTAGCGTTGTCAGGTGAGTCGCCTATTTGGCTGCTGCCTACGGATTACGCCCACAGGCTCTGGAATTACAAGCTGCGGAGAACAAATGCCTCAGTGATGCACCAGTGCATCTCAGGGGTTCTGGTTCTGAAGCAGGAGCCCCTCATCACCGTTCTTGAGTCCTTTGGAAGGGCAGCGGGGACTGTCAGGGCCCTCACTGAAACAGGGCACAGAGCTTTCTGTGGTGTGTTTCTCTCCCTCTGCTGCTGTTCCCTTGATAATCTGAAGGGGGACACAGAGAAGAACAAAGCTGCAGTGTGTTATGCTTTAATGTGAAGTCGCCTACATGATAGGTTAATGTAGGCACTGCAACTCTATTGTCTAAATTCAGAAACATGCCACACTTTTGTTTGAGGAAGATGCACGTGGCGAGAATCAGGCCACTCGGTAGAGCACCGGGGTCCGATGCCTGAGCGGCAGACAGTGCGCCAAGGCAGAACACGCATGCCCGTCAGGGACCCACCCACTGCGGTGTGGGCCACAAGGACTCCTGCCCGTGTTGAGAGGCCTTGTTCTGTATCGAAGGCCACAGAGTGGCTGCTTGAATGTAAAAGGAAGAGAATTATACCTTCCACTAGCAAACTAAATGAGGAACCACTAATTTATTTTTTTTTCCAAATAATAGCCCCAGTGCACTGACCATAAGAGATGAAGAAAGTGTCTGGAGGATTAAAACTAAAGCTTTAATCTCCAAATAGAACATAGGTGTCAAGAAACTAGAATTGGGAAGTTAAAAATAGATAAAATAAGTCTGGTACTTAGAAAAGGTAGTACAAATGCAATTAAATTGAGCCATACCTCACCCACCATCCCATTAACAAATGGTTTGGTGACTTCCCCAGAGGCCCAGCCCTGCTTCTGCTCCTGAGAAGGGCCAAGAGTGAATGGAAGTACCAGGCGGTCGGCAGGAGGCACGCCCAAGTGCAGGCGTGCAGAGAAGGTGGGCACAATGTGGCAGGAGACAGGGAAGTGTGACAGGGAAGCCGCGTCACTAGGGCTGAGGAAAGGGCAATGAGGAGTAAGCAGAGACTATGGCACAGGGAACCAGTAAAGCCACATTCTTCAAGCATGATTCTGAAACGTGACAACTGGATTCATAAGCTCCTGCTTTCTCTTTCTCTTTCAGTGTTTACATATCCAGAAAACGGCATGGAGGATTTCAGAGACCAAGCAAAGAACATCAGCCTCCAGGTATTTATGGATGTCACAAGACAGAGAAACTGGGTCCTTAGATCATGCTGCAGGTCACCACCCATGGGGGTCATGACATCAAGTCAGTGGATCCAGACCAGCATTTTTAGAGAATAGAATGGAATAATGTGGCATAATGTGCCATAGGGTAGATAGCAGGTGATAGAACAGAAATATCACACTTCCTTGGTGGTAAAAAGGGTCAGTATTGTGTTGTACGCTTTTTGTTTCCATTAATTATGTTATATACAAGTTGATGTATAACCTGTGTATAAATTATAGAAATTTATTATATGTAAATTATATAATTACATAATACCATATGACTATATTTTATGTATAAATATATATTTATCATATTTTATGTTCACTTGTATATAATTAGAATAGAATCAACTACAACAGAAGTATATAGTACAAGGTACTTGAGCTTTGGGTAATAGAGCAAATCATAGGATAAAAAGTTTTAGTTGTGAGCAACCATGTTTTATATATATATAAAATATATATTTTATGTGTTTAAATATATTATACAGTTATACATTACATATTATAATAAACAATTACATCTATACTATATATATATAATATGTAATAGCATGCTATTATTTTTGATATATCATAAACTTTTATTTATGATATATATTATAAAGTGTGAACATTTATGTAGTATCAACATTAATTTGGTTAATAATAGCAGCTAAATCTTACATAATACTTGTAAGTCTCCTGTATAGCCTATAAATTGGGGGCAACCGTAGAATCTTGGTCCCCGGGCCCTTGTGAAGCTCGAGTATGCTAATGCATGTAACATAATGCCTTGTACACAGTAAGCTATCAGAAATGGTAGTTTCATTATCATTACTGCAATGGCCCTTGTGAAGCTCGAGTATGCTAATGCATGTAACATAATGCCTTGTACACAGTAAGCTATCAGAAATGGTAGTTTCATTATCATTACTGCAAGGTTTCATAACCAGTAAGTGGTGATTCTCCCCATCCAAACTAAATCAATCTGATGCCAATATCTATACTGTTTTCATAGCATGAATGAGCTAATTGCCAGATGAATATATCTAGTTCCCTTTATTATGCTGGTACCAAATTTTAAGCTAACTGATAAAACATCTACTGTAGGAAGTGGAACTTGTTCACTCCTCTCTGGAGAGAGAATATTCCATTCCTGGGGTCAAACCTGTATCACCATTCATGAACTATAGCAAAAAAAAATTTATTTGAAGAAAATTATAGTATTTCTGACAAAGACTTCCACATAAGTGTTCAAATGGCTTGTAATGAAATCAATCTCAGCTAAGAAACTAAAAATAAATCTAGGTTGAAACAAAGGCTTTAATAATGGTTAGGTATTTTAGCACTTACGATCCGTATAAACTGGTATTACATTGTGTTAACATGTCCATTTCTTATGATCTTTCTTCTCTTCATTTCTCCCTCCTTCCTTCTTATTTTTCTTGTATTTTCTCTTTCAGGGACTTCCTTCCAAAGACCCATTACAGATGAACACCTATGTTGCCTTGTACAAATTTGTACCACAGGAGAATGAAGATTTGGAAATGAGGTAAAAACATTTTTCAAAGAAAAGAATGAATGAATGAAAGCAAAATTTTACATCACATTTCTCTATGCAAAAGAAACAATTCAGTTTGTACTACTTTGTGATACTCTCACTGAGCCCTGTTCCTGGAGTTTCTGATTCAGCAGGTCTGGGTTGGGCTTGAGAATTTGCACTTCTAATTGTCCTGCAGGTGGTTCTGAGGCTGCTGACCCAGGGACCACACTTCAGAAGTCCCTATTTTAGTACATGGTTAACAGAACAACTAATAGAAATTTCCATGAAGACTGAACATCAAATGCACTTGGCATGCTGTGGGATCTAATAAGGAATCAAAATGTTTAATGCCCAAATTAACATTGATTGATGAATCAAAGGAAGACTATTTGTCCTGTGGGAGGCGGTCAACTTCCCTGTGTTTCAGGAGCCACTGCACTTCACAGTCACTGGGACCTGGGAAAGGGAGGTGAGTGACGGGACCTTCATGAGATCTGAACCTTCGCCTTGACCAGTTTAGGTTCCTGAGGTGGCAGGGGCAATTAGGGTAGAGTTAGTCCTGTGTCCACATCGTGCTTACTGTGCGGCCTTAGCAATCATAGACTCGTCATCACTCTGTTTTCCTTGTTTATAGAAGAGCAATCATTCCACTGTGGCATGGGGTGGGGACAAAAGTGATCACAGGGCGGGGGGCATGGGCCTGGCCACACAGTGCTGAGCAGCTCATTTCCTGTGCTCACTGGCTAATCTCAATGAGAAGGCTGAATCCTTCCCCCACTCGTAATCTAGAGAGGAGGCTCTCTGCTGTTTTCCAGTCCTGATGCAGCATGAAAATGGCTGCTTTTCCAGCCCCATGGGCTTTCCTTGCACCAGGAAAGGGGAGAGATAAATAAGCATGAAAGCTGCTGAACCGTGGGAGCCGTAGAGAAACAGCCTCCATGCGGGGGTGGGCTCCACTCATCTAGGGGCCAGGCGCCGGGTTACCAGTCTCCAGCCAGACCCTTCAGATGGCTTTGTGGAGGCCTCGTCTCTCCCCCTAGAGCTGTGTGGGTCTCCACATCCCCCGCTTGTGCCTTTCCTAGGCACAGTCCCTTTCCCACCTCCCCAGTACAGTGACCAAACTCAGGGAAACCTGCCTCTCCTCTTCCACTTTCCCCAAAGCCTCTTAAAAGGAGAAGCTGCCCAAAAGGCTCCAATCAGACTGTTTCCAGAGTTCCATATGCCCCCAGGGCAACCTCAGCAGCTCAGCTGCCCCTCACGGTGCAACAGCCAGAGGGGCTCCACAGCTTTCCCCCTGGTAGCTCCGCGGCTCACACCCAAGGTCAGCCTCGTTGGGAATTGTGCTTCCAAGTGATTCATGGGCCTTTCCAGAGCAGAGTTCCGGGCCTGGATTCTGGCTCTTTAGATGTGTTCACACACCTGGGCTCTCGTACAACTGAGTTCTCTCCATCACTGAATAAAAATTGCCACAATGAGCCCACCGGCTAGAGTTGTACGCGCTACCTGCAGTTGGGCCTCAGTACAGAATGAGGAGAGGGCCTCTGCTGAGGGAGGGAAGCCCTGTTCCCTCAGAGACACGAGCCCTGAAGGTTGGAGCCTGCTAGATTCATGGCTGGCTTTGCCTGATGGTCCAGAATTAACCATCTGCTGCTGAAGACGAGGGTGATATATATTTACTTTTCAGTAAGTACAGTATATTGGGTCTTTCTTGAGATTGTCATTTGGGTATCTAGAATTTAAATTCCAACAACTTCCTATTGTGCAGGTCCCACTGTTTTGTATTAGAAGATTATTCTGAAGTCATCAGAAAAAAAGCAATTCCAGAGAGATATAGATTGTCATTGGGGTACCGAGGGGTGACATCCAGCTGCCTGGTAGTGGTCGTAAATTTTTGTGCTTATTTTAGTCAGTTGCAGGCCATTGAAAGTCAAGTTGTCTGGTCACGAATCCAACATTTACAGTCTGCTTCAAGGCAAATGGGACTATTCATTCCCAGGAGTGAAATGTCTGCATTATATCGACTGCCATATTGGAGTAATAAATCAAACTTTTTCCTGGTTTTTTCTGCCGAAAGATTGTAAGTTCCCATTTTAAAGCCAAGCATTTGATTTTGATTATATAAGGCAGTGCTTAGGGGATTTGGTGTAATTCCTTGAATGAGCTGGGGCTTTGTGAATCATCTTTTTCTCCTTAAACTGTCAGGTAGAAAAAGACTCCTTGTAACTAAATGCCATTCTTACCCACCTGTGCTCTGACCCGGGGAGCACACTGGGTGCTGCCCTCAGGATGGAGCTCAGAGGAGGTGAGAGGACAGGCAGTGCCGGGAGTTGAGCTTGAGGGCAAGAAGGCCCAGATGGGCAAGGCCAAGAGCCATGATCAGAGCTGCTGAATCGCTGCTTCAGCCTGCTCAGTGCTAAGGACAGAGCTGACGGTCCAGTTCCACACTTCCAGGAGTGGCTGGCACGCCGCTGCTCCGCCCTCCCTCCCACACACCTCCTTAGCATGAAGTTGTCACCATCTGCCCAGGTTTCAGGCCTGCCATCAGGGGCTTCCCTTTACCTTGTGCGCAAATGTATTTAATGTTCAAGCCCAACTGGTTCTCTTTGCCTAAAATCTACTATAAGCCGGGCCTTCACCTCTCCCCTGGACTGGTGTCACTGGCCCTGCCTGGCTTCTGTGCTTCTGGTCTTGTCCCCAGCATCTCCCTCCAGTCCATTTGGGTGGTGAGGACTCTAAAGTGACAGTACAGTTGCTGGAGGTCTTCTAGACTTCGGCCCATGGGATGGCAGCACCTCCCAGCTCCTCTGCTTCCTAGCAATAGAGCCGATTACCTAACTTTCTGAACCTCCGTTTGCTAATTTTGAAAATGGACATAAGAAGGCCTTATCCCTGGGGGGATGGCTGTGCTTAAATAATGTAATAATATGTGGTACATAGTTGAAGCTTAATAGTGTCAGCTCGAATCAGTTCTATTTAGACTCCAGAAGAAAATGCTTCCTTTTTAGACAAGAAAGGGAAAAGAGAGAGATGAACATATCAACATGTATTCCTTGAATGTTTAAGAATAAAAGTGCAGGCATCATTTGACATGGGCTTAAGTCCCGGCCAAGCCACTCACTAGCTGCGTGACCCCCTGAAGCCTGGGAAAACTACACAAGCCATCTGAGCTTTTACTTCTGCACTTGTAAAAGGAGATCGTCGTTATGCCTGCCCTAGTTCTGCTCATGACACACGTCTTTGCCTAAAACTCTCCCATGTCCTCCATTTCCCTTGGATAAAGACCAGAGCACTGTGGAGACACCCCCAGGACCCTCACAGTCTCATCCCTGGTAACCCTTCTGCTGTCTGACACCACTGCTCCCCTCACCTCTCTGCTCCATCCCACTGACTCTGTTTATTTCCCCACAAGGACCACACAACCACCTGCCAGGAGATTTCTCTTCCTGCAGTCTGCTCCCCAGCCCATCCTCCTGCCCACCCACCACCACCATCACATACACACACACATTTAAAAGGAGAAGCTGCCCAAAAGGCTCCAATCAGACTGTTTCCAGAGTTCCATATGCCCCCAGGGCAACCTCAGCAGCTCAGCTGCCCCTCACGGTGCAACAGCCAGAGGGGCTCCACAGCTTTCCCCCTGGTAGCTCTGCGGCTCACACCCAAGGTCAGCCTCGTTGGGAATTGTGCTTCCAAGTGATTCATGGGCCTTTCCAGAGCAGAGTTCCGGGCCTGGATTCTGGCTCTTTAGATGTGTTCACACACCTGGGCTCTCGTACAACTGAGTTCTCTCCATCACTGAATAAAAATTGCCACAATGAGCCCACCGGCTAGAGTTGTACGCGCTACCTGCAGTTGGGCCTCAGTACAGAATGAGGAGAGGGCCTCTGCTGAGGGAGGGAAGCCCTGTTCCCTCAGAGACACGAGCCCTGAAGGTTGGAGCCTGCTAGATTCATGGCTGGCTTTGCCTGATGGTCCAGAATTAACCATCTGCTGCTGAAGACGAGGGTGATATATATTTACTTTTCAGTAAGTACAGTATATTGGGTCTTTCTTGAGATTGTCATTTGGGTATCTAGAATTTAAATTCCAACAACTTGCTATTGTGCAGGTCCCACTGTTTTGTATTAGAAGATTATTCTGAAGTCATCAGAAAAAAAGCAATTCCAGGGAGATATAGATTGTCATTGGGGTACCGAGGGGTGACATCCAGCTGCCTGGTAGTGGTCGTAAATTTTTGTGCTTATTTTAGTCAGTTGCAGGCCATTGAAAGTCAAGTTGTCTGGTCACGAATCCAACATTTACAGTCTGCTTCAAGGCAAATGGGACTATTCATTCCCAGGAGTGAAATGTCTGCATTATATCGACTGCCATATTGGAGTAATAAATCAAACTTTTTCCTGGTTTTTTCTGCCGAAAGATTGTAAGTTCCCATTTTAAAGCCAAGCATTTGATTTTGATTATATAAGGCAGTGCTTAGGGGATTTGGTGTAATTCCTTGAATGAGCTGGGGCTTTGTGAATCATCTTTTTCTCCTTAAACTGTCAGGTAGAAAAAGACTCCTTGTAACTAAATGCCATTCTTACCCACCTGTGCTCTGACCCGGGGAGCACACTGGGTGCTGCCCTCAGGATGGAGCTCAGAGGAGGTGAGAGGACAGGCAGTGCCGGGAGTTGAGCTTGAGGGCAAGAAGGCCCAGATGGGCAAGGCCAAGAGCCATGATCAGAGCTGCTGAATCGCTGCTTCAGCCTGCTCAGTGCTAAGGACAGAGCTGACGGTCCAGTTCCACACTTCCAGGAGTGGCTGGCACGCCGCTGCTCCGCCCTCCCTCCCACACACCTCCTTAGCATGAAGTTGTCACCATCTGCCCAGGTTTCAGGCCTGCCATCAGGGGCTTCCCTTTACCTTGTGCGCAAATGTATTTAATGTTCAAGCCCAACTGGTTCTCTTTGCCTAAAATCTACTATAAGCCGGGCCTTCACCTCTCCCCTGGACTGGTGTCACTGGCCCTG